ATGGCACCCTGCCCTGGTGACGCCCTACTCTGTCTGATGGCACCCTGCCCTGGTGACGCCCTACTCTGTCTGATGGCACCCTGCCCTGGTGACGCCCTACTCTGTCTGATGGCACCCTGCCCTGGTGACACCCTACTCTGTCTGATGGCACCCTGCCCTGGTGACACCCTACTCTGTCTGATGGCACCCTGCCCTGGTGACACCCTACTCTGTCTGATGGCACCCTGCTCTGGTGACACCCTACTCTGTCTGATGGCACCCTGCCCTGGTGACGCCCTACTCTGTCTGATGGCATGCTGCCCTGGTGACGCTCTACTCTGTCTGATGGCACCCTGCCCTGGTGACACCCTACTCTGTCTGATGGCACCCTGCCCTGGTGACGCCCTGTTCTTCTATTTTACATAGATCTCTTATTACATCGTCTTGAACGAACTTTCAAATTTGTATTTTTTATTTGATGTCACCCCATGTGAGGGTGCCAAGCGGTGCGGTCCACCACCCTTTAGAGACGCCACTGTCAATACCCATCTGCTCCCTCACCAACACCTTTTTGCTCATATCTGAATGCTTTCCAATTGAAACAGCACACTGTCGCCGACGACTCTTGCTTCATCCAGTGACAAAAACTTGCATCGTTCAAAAACATCGTTCAAAAACAACACTAAATAATTGTGAACACATCTCATCCACATTGTGTGAGAGAGGTTTCAGTGAGCATTCTAGGTTGAGATGATTTATATGCCATTTCGTATGTCCTTTAAATAAGAAAAAAACATACAAATTAAAGCCACTACAAATGCTTCTTTATTTTTACATTAAACTTGTAGCGACCCAAACCTTTATTTATATAAATCCCGCTATGGGCTTCTGTGACAGCTAAAGCCAATGTGGTCTATCTTCCTCTTTTTAGTGCATTTCTATGTTAAATGCTAATTTTTGTAAAAATGAAATATATCGAATTTCAATGGTTGCCGAACATAACCCGAGCTTTAGTTGTTACCGAACATAACCCGAGCTTTAGTTGTTACCGAACATAACCCGAGCTTTAGTTGTTACCGAACATAACCCGAGCTTTAGTTGTTACCGAACATAACCCGAGCTTTAGTTGTTATCGAACATAACCCGAGCTTTAGTTGTTACCGGAACAACCTTAAGTTGTTACCAATCCAAACCAAACTCGAATTTCCGAATGAGGGTTCGATTCCACAGTCGATGCCCAACCTTCCCACCTACTCACCCCCCACCCTAACATCGGCCCCCGTGGTAACCACTACCGTTGCTCGCACTGTAAACACCTTTGATAAAACCTTGAACACTTTCCCCTTATTTATTTATTTATTTAGGCATTTTTATATAGTGCTTACAATAAAGCTCTAAGCGCTTTACAATTATTAAAAACATGTAAACTAAGTAAAATAAAAAATGAGACACTAGGATAGTAACTACTATACTATAGAAACAATTAAAATGGCTATAAAAACGAGTACACTTTGGCACGTTTTGGCCTATACTACAGGATCAACCCGAAACAGAAAATGAGGCAGGGCAAGGAGGGTGCATCACAGGTCATAGGCGGACCTAAACAGATGAGTTTTAAGGGACTTTTTGAAAATGGACGAGGTTTCACTATGACGTATATGGAAGGGGAGCTGGTTCCAGAACGTGGGCCCATGGAAGTAGAAGGAGCGTTCACCGATGGTCTTAGTTTTGGTTCTTGGGATTGAGAGGGTTCTATTGTCAATGGAAGAACGTAGTTGTCTTGTGGGGATGTAAGGAAGCAACAGTTCAGAGAGATAGACAGGAAAGTGAGGGTCAGTGAACGAGTTGAAGCATAGATTGGCAGACTTGTACTTGATGCGAGAGGATATTGGAAGCCAGTGGAGTTGCCGCATGAGTGGTTAAATGTGGTCATGTTTCTTTGATTTAAAAATGAGTCTGCATGCTGAGTTCTGTGCCTTCTGAAGTTTGTCTATGTGGTGTTGAGGAATGCCTGCGAGAAGAGTGTTACAGTAGTCAAATTTTGAAAGAATGAGTGAAGAGACGAGAGTTTTTGTGGCATCAAAGGAGAGGAGGTGTCTAATGGTGCTGATTTTTCTAATTTCGTTATATGCTGATCTGCATATATTCGTGACATGTTTGTCCATGGAGAGGGTGTCCGTAAGCGTGACTCCAAGGTTTCTGGCAGAGGGAGAGAGTGTGATGTCAGAGTTGCCAATAGATATAGAAGAAGGAGCGAATGGAGGGAGAGGTTTGTTTTGAGAGTGGATGAGAAGGATTTCCGTTTTATCATCATTTAGCTTCAGTTTGTTGCAAGTCATCCAACGCTTTACGTCGTCCACGCACTCCTGTATGCGAAGGATTGTGGCATCAAGTTGATCAGGAAAGCAAGAGTCACTGATTTGAGTGTCATCAGCAAAGGAAACTGAGTGGTGGCTAATGAGAGATGATAGAGGTTTAGCTTTAAAATCTTCACCGTATCCCAGCCCTCGACCCACTTCCTGTTCACACCTACACTACGCCCATTATCCACTCCCCCAAACCTCCCCAAGCCACAGTTTTTATTACCACCCTCTCCTGATACTGGCGCCCTTTCATTCCCCTGAAACATATGCCTTCCCCCAAATTTATCCACGCCCCTCCCCCTTCCCGTAGCCCCTCAAATCCCCATCAAAAACCAAACACGTATCCACGATCCACATACCAACACAGAGAAAGAGAGACCGGGACGGGGAGGGGGGGGGGCGAAGATGAGTATCTGACAAGAATGGGGAAGCTAAATAGATCGGCGTCGTTCGCAAGCCTTATGTTGCCGGTCCGCACAACATGAATATTTATAGTGGAATAAAAATAAAGTGTAAAGAATAAATATGGCTGTGCAGAGGCGTAGTGAGGGTGTTTAGCGCCCGGGGACACAATTCGCGCCCGGGGACAAGATCCATTTTAAAGCGCCCCTTTTTATTTTTTTCAACTCTCAAGCCATTATTTTCATCAATAAAATAATATCAAAGCACATTTTGGCGCCCCTAACTAGCTGGCGCCCGGGGACATCTGTCCTCCCTGCCCCCCCTCGCTACGCCTCTGTAGCTGTGGACCCTGATGCAATTAAAAAACATGTGCATAAGCCCGCCAATTTAAAAGCTTGAGAAACGCTGGCCTCGACCACAACACTAAACAGGAAGATGATGAAACAGGACTGACGCATCAACAATATTTCTATTTATAGTCTTGTGTTTGTTTTGTGTTATTGTGCCTGATGAGGTGGCGAGGAATGAGTTGGTTTCGATCGATAAAAAAAAAAAAGTTTTTAATAGAGGAATTTCTATTTTATTTACAGCATTCAATCAAGTTGGAACTGGTACACAGCCAGTATATACCTCTCGAACACAACCAGTATGAACATCTTGTACATAGCCAGGTAGAGCCTCTTGCACACAGCCGTTATAAACCCAACAGCTTGAAATGTAAACAAACAATTGTTTTCCGTGTCTTTCTCGGATGCCCTGCATCTCCCAATTCATGTTTCTTCCTCGGAACTTTTCAGTAAGACCTCATAAATCGTCTCAGTGGTCAAGAAATTATATTGTATCAACGATCTTAGAAATACATACACTATACATTCCTATTCATAATATACTATATATTTCTTTAAAAATACATCTTTTTTTTTTCGAGTAGCTTTCTGCCTTAAGACTCCGAGATGTTTGTAATACTGTTTACCTGCAGCCCACCCAAACCAGCCAGTAAAGAAAGGGAGAAACAAACACCAGTTACTGTTGATTGTTATCTCCCTTCTTTAAGAGTTATGTGCCTTATGTCTGGGAAGACGTATGACTAAGCCACCTACCTAAGTCAACATAAACAGAACATGTCATTGCAGGCATAGTAATATTTTATCCAAAAAAAACCAAAAGTTTTCTGAATATTTACGACAAGGGGAAATCCCTGTAAGTTCAGACCTAGTGCTAAAAATAAAACTGCCGTCAGAACTGAACAAAAGCCAATATCATTTCTTGTATTTCAGATTTGACATCATTTATCAGCTGATGAGCTCACGTGGTGGGACTCGTCTTTATATCATAAAATAAATAATAATCTTTTTAAATAATAATAATTTTATGCACCCGTAATAACTATTAACATAGTTAAAAGTAGAAAAAACTAGCATAATTTTATTTGCAATTTTTTTTTTTTCTTTTAACTCCGGAAGTCAATCATGATTACTTCATCCGCTGTGAGAAAACTGACATTTTAAAAGAAAATTCATATTTGTTCACTCCGACATTCATAGTCAGCAAACACAGATTTAAATGAACAACCTGCTTATTCATTTATACAAGTAGACATTTAAAAGACACATTAGCTTAATAATATAAAAGAACCAGCAGCTAAGTTGCTGATTTTTATTATTATTTTTTTAAAGAGTTGATCAACGCTGCACTTTTAACATTATAATTTAATATCTATAAATTGGAGGGTTTTAGAATAATAAATATTGTTTGTAGTTGTGAATAGTTACTGTTTCTAACAACCTGTGTATACAACTAACGCTAGTAAGGCAACCCCCCCCCCCCCCGGGAAAGTCAAGTGCCCCCCCCCCAGCAAAAATATGTCCAACAAAAATCAACTAACCCGAAAAATCTTAAGTGCCCCGGGGGGGGGGGGGAATTTCTGAAAGAAACACTGTTTGTCCCTCACCAGGAAAGCAGAGAACCTGCTCCATACATGGGAGAGGAAAATCCTCAGGAAAATGTACAGCCCAGTGATGGAAAAGGATGTCTGGAGAATCCATAAAAACCAAGAGCTATATCAACTGTAAAAAGACCCCACCCATAGTCGCAACAATAAAAAAAGGGCAGACTGTGCTGGACAGGACATATTAAAAGAATGTCGGATTGTAGAGCAGCAAAAGAGATACACAGGCAGAAACCTAGGGGCAGATGGCTCACTGGTCGTCAGAGACTGAGATGGAATCGATGATGTAGAGAAGGATTTACACCAGTTGGGGGTTTGCACATCGAGGCAGAAACTATGGATTGATCCGAATGGAGGGATATGTTGGACCAGGCCAGGGTCCTACATGGGCTGTAGCGCCACTGATGATGATAAGTTATGTGAGTTACAAATACTTTCTAAAGTAGTGTAGCCTTTTCGGATCTGAAAGCTGCTTAGTATCAACCCAACAAGGTTTTTGTAGTCGGGCATTGTCATTCAAACCAAATGCTTCTAACATGGCCAATATGTATTGTGGACCAAAAACTGTGAAGAGGTACACAGCTGGTTACAAAAACCTACAAATTACAAAAAAATTAATTCAATTTTTACAGAAAGTGTGTCCAATAATGATAGAGCCTGGACTTTAAAGGCCTGAAGATTCAAACTTCTAGATAAACTGTTGCTAGTGTTGGCTTGGTGTAAGCCGATGAACTTTAGGCCCTGTGTTCAATGTATTAGGGGATAGGTATATATATTCTGTACAATATAAGTTTATGTAAAACAAGACTAAATGGACATATGAAACATTTCTAAATCTTAAGCAGGAATAACAAAATAAAGGATAAATGATTTTAAAATTCTTCACAATCTCTCCAATTCAAAGTGATCCAGTTCATCTATGATCGGGTGTGCCAGCATTGAGCCATTCATTGTTCCGTAATTCCACTCTTCTGATTTTACCACTGACAGTTTTTGGAAGTTCCTTCACAAATTCAATCTTACCATGAAAAAAAAAAAATGTATGAATTTTAGTTTTCCAGTAACACACAAGGAGAGTAAAAATTTTAGTCCTTGTAAAAATTTTAGAGCTTGAAATATTTAATATAGAAATTTAAATAAAAATAATTGAAAAAGAAATTGAAAAATATCTAAAAATCTGCTTATTTTTTAAAAAAGTAAATATTTATATACAAGTTTTAATTGAACACAAGTTTTTCTCAAACTTTTTCACATGTTTGATAAAGGCAACTTTACTTTAAATGATAGTAGTATTTCCATTTATGAAAGATTAATAGCAACATATAAAACTTACTTTTCTTGGGTATTTGTAAGGTGCAGTGGATTCCTTCACATGATTTTGTAAATCCTCAACCAGTTTTTGGGGATTTTCATTAATAATATCTGATTTCAAAACTACAAATGCTTTTACAACCTGTAGAGAATATTCATTAAAACCTGTAGAGAATAACCATTACAACCGGTAGAGAATAACCATTACAACCAGAAGAGAATAACCATTAAAACCTGTATAAAATAACCATTACAACCAGTAGACAATTACAATTACTAGTAGAGAATTACTATTACAACTGGTAGAGAATAACCATTACAACCTGTAGAGAATAACCATTACAACCTGTAGAGAATAACCATTACAACCTGTAGAGAATATTCATTAAAACCTGTAGAGAATAACCATTACAACCTGTAGAGAATAACCATTACAACCTGTAGAGAATAACCATTAAAACTAGTAGATAATAACCATTACAACCTGTAGAGAATAACCATTACAACCTGTAGAGAATAACCATTAAAACTAGTAGATAATAACCATTACAACCAGTAGAGAATTACTATTACAACCTGTAGAGAATATTCATTAAAACCTGTAGAGAATAACCATTACAACCTGTAGAGAATAACCATTACAACCTGTAGAGAATAACCATTACAACCTGTATAAAATAACCATTAAAACTAGAAGATAATAACCATTACAACCAGTAGAGAATAACCATTACAACCTGTAGAGAATAACCATTACAACCAGTAGAGAATAACCATTACAACCTGTAGAGAATAACCATTACACCTGTAGAGAATAACCATTACAACCTGTATAAAATAACCATTAAAACTAGTAGAGAATAACCATTACAACCTGTAGAGAATAACCATTACAACCTGTATAAAATAACCATTAAAACTAGTAGAGAATAACCATTACAACCTGTAGAGAATAACCATTACAACCTGTAGAGAATAACCATTACAACCTGTAGAGAATAACCATTACCAGCTCCAAATTAAAAATATAAACTTACAAAAATATTTGTAAATTAGAAAAGTAACAAGATGAAATCACCAATCCCAGCGTAGCGAGAGATTCAGGAAATTTATGGAGAAGGCTTGGACATTGGAAAAGTAAACCAATGCCAAACATAAATAGGCAAGCAGTTGTCAGGGGTAAATAGATAAGAAAGAAGACCCTTAACATATCGTGTAAAGAGGTAGAAAAGGATTAGCTCAAAGTAGGAAAGAGTTCAAGAAGATTTGAAGACACTTGAAGGCCTAATAAATATCTGTTAATTTGACCTATGATCTACTGGCAGATAAAGACCATTGGAAGGAGAAGAATATTACAGCTTCAGGAAAAGTTTTCTATTTTTGCTTTAGATTTGAAATATGAAAATCAAGAATCCCAAACAATGAACCTTTGAGGGTGAACTGTGAATCAAATTTTATCTCCTCTTCTTTCTTCTAACTAAAGATTTAAGCAGTTGAATGCTATATCAATGCAGAATTCTGCTAACTAGAGATTTAAGCAGTTGAATGTTATTTTAAACGTTTATCAAAATCTATGGAAAAATTAACCATAAGAAGTTTGTAAAAAGTTGCAGCTGGCACAAATTTTAATTGAATTTTCAAAATTTATTTCATAAGTTGTTTCTTTTTTTTATGAAAATCTTATATGAATTACAGAACAGCTGCATGTACAATGCAAAAGTGGAAGCAAAAATCAATTAGCTAACGAAATAGCTTGACTAAATTTGCAATTACTAGCAATCCCTACCCATATACATAGTAATACTTGTCATTACCTCCCCTCTCATCTCATCTGGGCTACTGATAACAGCTGACTCCAAGACAGCAGGGTGTTCCAATAAGGCACTTTCAACTTCAAATGGACCAATACGATACCTAAACTCAATGATTAGAAGCAAAATCATTAGGCTAATACTATATTTATAAATATATAAATCTACTGTATTAGGTTGCCAAAGTGAAATTTTTTGGAAACCCTTTTCATAATAAGAATTTTTTTTTTTTTTTGAAAGTGAAGCATCAAAAGACAATTATAATGCCTGCAACGTACCCGGCTGAGTTAATAACATCATCTGCACGGCCAACAAAATAGATGTAGTTCTCCTCATCCATGTAGCCTCTATCCCCCGTTAGGTACCAGTCCCCTCGGAACGATGCCGCTGTGCGATCTGGATCATTCTGGTGATTGGATTTTTCTAAACTTAGATTTTAAAACAAAACACATCAATGATAGAAAATATGGAAAGTCTTTATAAAGTCCTTATGCTACAATTCTTGTAAATAAATTTACCAAATATTGTGTGAAGAGGCCAATGGGTCTAACTGGTTTTGTCAACAGGGCAATATTCCCCTCTGTACCAGGCTCAGTCAATTTGCCGTCATTATCCACAATGCCAACTTGTAGATCAGGAGAGCTCTTGCCCATGGAGCCTTCTTTATATTTTATACAGTTATAGCGACAGCTTACTAATGTCTTCGGAGAAAAAACAGGGGGAATTACTTTTTTTATATATTGGTGCAATGTAAAAATTATTTACATATTATAAATAAAATTTGTAAAATTATGTATTATGCCAAAGAAGCAACTAAAGCAGTTTGGAGAATACAAATTAACTTTGATTTAATAAAATTCATCTCATTAAATAATTTTGTATGTAAAGTTTCTTTTTGTCCATAATAAAATTAACATAATTAAATGAGTTTGTTTTTAAAAACTGTGTACTGTTTCTGTTTGTCCGTAGCCTTCATACAAAGTTATCCCTGTTTCCCGTTGCCAAATTTCCATCAACTCCGGATTCTGGTCAACAAAAAATAGATTTAACAAAATTAAAAGTCTCATGCCGTTTCAAAAACAATTTTTGTTGCTGTTTTATAGTGTGTGTTTCAAAAGCATAGTTATTACTGTATCATTTTGAATAACATTTTATTCAAAATCATACAGTAATAACTGAGTGGAATAACTATGCCATGGCCATAGGTTTATGAAAAAAGTTTATATTTCAATTCTTTCCCCATGAATCAATTATCTGGGGTTGAATTATAAATGATGAATCGATCTTTATAATTGTAACATTTAGTCACATTTTCTCTGTTTTGATTTAATTAAGAATACAATACAAATAATTACTTTTGACTTGAGCACAAACTTTAAATCTAACATTATTCCCCTTTCAAAGAAAAGCAATTCCAATAAAAATTAAGACTGAAAAAACTAAAATTGTCACTGAGAATAAATGCTCAAAACAAATGCTTACCACTGGTTCTCCAGCGCCCAAAGACCTCTTTAATGCCTTAAATTTAATATTGTGCAGCTGCTGTCCGAGCATTATCCTGAGGCCAGTTGGAGAGCTGCAGAAATGGGTTACTGGAAACTTTGATAGAACCTATGAATAAATATGTGACAAAAGTGTAGTGTCTTTGATTATTATGTAGTCTTTTAATTTGCCTTTAAAACCTTCAAATTAAGTGAACAAGACAGCCCTTGATAAATTGATAACATTTCATAGCAATGCATTGTGAATATTGATTTTTGCTTTAAAAGTTCTGCTTTCTCAATTTTTAAAAATAAATCTAGTTTCATGGCATTGAAGTTTGCTAATTTCATTTTTGGTAAAAAAATGTTATCTTGAAACTAAGGAATATATATAATATATACACATCTCATACCATACAATAATGAATAATTTAATAAGGGGATCCCAACAATAATATTGTTTTGGTAGACGGGAAGACAACAAAATTTATTTTTTTAATATAGAGATCACAATTAATATTTTTTTAGAAATTACTAAATTAAATTAATTTTAATATTCAGTTTAATTGCTGGGATTGTAACAAATATTTTTGATGAGATGAAGTATATATTTTCTTCAATCCTGTTATTATTTTTACCTGTAAAGTCTCAAGTGGGTCAAATTTAGGTGAATTGTAAATAAAAACACAAGCTCCCATTATCCAGGGGGCAAAGAAAGATGACCAGGCACTTTTGGCCCACCCTGTGTCTGACAAGTTCCACAAAACACTGTTGGAATCAACCATCAAAAAATATCTGTTTATAATGAAAGAAAATGAAGGAATTAAACAGCCTTAATGCACAATAGCTTGTCGGGTTTTCTAAAGTGGATAGAAAAAAGTAAGAAACAAATTAGTCAATTTTTTGGTTAATTTTGATTTAATTTCGTTAGACAAAACAAACCTAGCGGTAGTTATGTGCCCTAAGCCATAACTGATGTGGGTGTGTTCTGCCATTTTTGGATTCCCTGTTGTTCCGCTGGTAAAAAATATCATCATTGGATCTGAGCCCTTTGTGTTGACACACTAGAAAAACAAAAAAATGTCATGATTTGAATTTGTTTTACAAGCATATTCTAAAAGTACAGAAAGTAATATTGCTGCCAGAATTTACTTTAAGTAATATGAGAGACCAGTAGTAACTTGAAGTAGTATAAAAGCAACAACATATTTTTAAGGATCAGTAAGAACTAAGAGTAAAATAACCAGATAGAAACTTAAAATACTTGAAATAATATTAGCATTGTTTTATTATCCAATCCTAATTTTTTTTTTTCATTTTTAATGAAAAGTTATCATATGATCTTTTTACTTTTTAATAGGTCATACCCCATAAATAATGACTTTGAAAAAATAATATTTCATCTTTGATATGATGCTCAAATTCTCTCAACTTTGATGTCGTTTGACTAACGGAATATGACAGATAATTTAAATAGTGCAATAATATCAGTTAGTATGGAAAGATTTTCCTTATTAAATGAATATTCTTATAATTCTTCAGACATGCAAGGATCTTACATTAAAATGATCTGCTGCCTTCTCCACAAGTGCTTGATAGTTCAACCAACCAGGTCTGAAAGAAAATATTTTGTTTTGCAAATGAAGGGAAAAAATAACAATAAAAAAATATTTTAAATCATTTTAACTTTAACTTCATGAATATAGATTATATGGGAAATGAAGATTTAGAATGTGCAAGCAAACTGAGCAAAATAATAGAATACTCATTTTTAATGAAATTAGTGGTGTAAATAGGGTCAGGTAAGTTGGCCACTATATTGAACTGAAAAGGGGGTGGGGGGGGGGTTGATGTCATTGTTAAACATACCAAAATTTAATGTACCTAAGATAACTTGCAGATCCATCAAAGTAATGAGGGAAATAGGGTTTTAAACCTAGGAAAATGGCTCTCTTGACTTGTAAGTTTTTAGAAAAAATACAATCATTATGATTTTGTCATTTTTTGCATTTTCTTTAAATGAAACTGTTGCCATATGAGCAGGAAATATTTCTAAATAAATGGAAAAAAATTGTTTACCACCCATACACTTGTATGTGAAGCTTGATCATCTTAATTATAGCATATTAAAAAAAAATGATTCACTTAAACTGGTTTTAGTAAATTAAGATAAAACAAATTCAGGCATCTCCATTATATATTCTTAGTTAGCTACTCACAAATTTAGAATTAATTTCAGATATATGAAACTGTTACAAACCTTGTTTCACCATTGTCACAGACAAGAATTTTACTCTTCAGATTTTCTGAATCATGGGCAGCCTTCAGTACAAATAATTATACATTTATATTTGTTTTACATTAATAGATTTAATTAATAATACATGTAATATAGAGCAATTACTGGTATTTTTTAAAATAAAATCGTTAAAATAGGTAAAAAGTAACTAAGCAAATTTTTGAAAAGAGATAATTCATTTTGATAGGTTATATAAAAAAAACTTTATTCAATCTGAGTTTGTTTTAACGTCCTTCAACCACTAGAGAACTGGAATAGATACCTCTGAAAACATGATGATATACTAAGAATTACATCTTCCACGAGGGGGACTAACTCTGGGTATGTGATAGTATACTCACCTCGTCTACTATGGGTGCTAACTCTGGGTATGTGATGATACACTTGGCTTCAGAAAGCTGTAACCTGTGCTTGATGTCTTGCATTCTGAGCATGGTGGTCCCCGGGCATATTGTTATATCTATATAAAGAATACAGCATGAGATTACTAATGAAAGAGTTATTTATATGCTATCGTTTTTAATTAGATATTAATTTAAACCCATAGACATAGCAAGCAGATTTAAAAGTTAAACTTACCTGCCCTTATACAGGCAAGAAGAATAATCCACCACTCAGGTATCTTTGGTAAAATGACAATTACTTTCTCTTGTCTTTTTAAACCACAGCCTCCAACTAAAGCATTAGCAACTCTAAATAAAGATAAGTTGCACCATTAAAAACATAAGCCCTAATGACAAGTTCAACCTTTAAAAACATTAGCCCTAATGACAAGTTCAACCTTTAAAAACATAAGCCCTAATGACAAGTTCAACCTTTATAAACTTTAGCCCTAAAAATAAGGTGCACCATTAAAAACATTAGCCCTAATGATAAGTTCAACCATTAAAAACATTAGTCCTAAAGCATTTTTTTAATTTGAATGTGGTGCAAATATCAAAAGTTAATGCCTCAATTAACTTTCAAGCAGGCCCCTCTAATGAAAAAGTTCAAATGTTAAAATCCATAGTAACTCAAGTCTTTGTTATTATATGGTTTGAATCAGCTGTTTGCCATGTCAGCCTTTGTTGTTGGTTGCTCGTAGGATATGAAAGTCACATGGTTTTAAGTGTCTTACTGACATGACTTGTGAGCACATCTCAACCCCCAGATAATATTTTCTTGTCTGGTAAGCTATACTCCTAAATGTTGTCCATCTCTGGCCTGTGCGCTATAGACTGACTATAAGATTATTGGTCTATTGGGAGAGTAAATTATTGTAAATAGATTACTTTAGATACAAGATTTATTTAGTTTTTGGTATTTTACCGTTGAGATCTTTCTGAAAGTTGTTGAAATGACAGTTTGATTTCCTTGTCTGTCCTAGCATCAACCCACCAAAATGCAGGGATAGAAGAATTACGTGTGCCAATCTGCAAACATTTTTAAAAAAAATAGGCTGATGTTACCTAATTTGAAAAAAAAACCTGAGTCGAAATGCAAGTAAATCAGGAATGTATTCTCTTTTAAAGAATAAGCCTATTTCATACAGAAAATTTAAAACAAAAATATATCATGTATATTTCATAAATTTTGCGAACTTTCCATAAGTACAATTTCCATGTTAAAAAAAAATTTATCAAGGTAAGAATGGAATAAGAAACTGAGCTAATTATCAAACTAATAGTCTTGTTCTAATTTCATGTCCTCTATACATTAATTTTTATATAAAATCGAGAAAAAAATAAAGAAATATCTCAGTAAAATGTTAAGAAAAAAAAGATGTTAAATATAGGCATACTCGCTCAGCGTGCGCCCATTCATCTATGAAGTCTTTGGCAAAGTTAAAAAATAAGGGACGATTTAATGTGAAGCTTTTCTTTTCCTGTTCATAATCTGTGAAGTGATAGCCTGTTAGTGGCAACTGAATGCTTCTTATCCATTGATGTCCAGAGACGAAATGCTTTGGCCTTAGCCTTAGGGGTATTTTGTGATAAAATGGAGCAACTGCACCATACAACTTTATGTGCTTCATTTTTCCTGCTGAATAAAAATGATGTTTTGCATTTCAAAGTCAATACTTTAATTTTTTGAAGGCTCATAAATTAAGTTAAAAAATTACCCCCACCCCTCCCCCAATAACACTAAAAGCTTATCCTATTATAAAAGATTTTCTAGTCTTATCAAATTAGTAAAATTAAATATTATTATTATTTTATTACCTAGCCTGTTCTTATCATTTTTTTGTTGTGTTTATTTATAACTAATTTTTTGTTGAAAATGTGGTCATGCTCTAATCTTTATAAAATAATCCTACTGGCTTAAAATTAGGCCTACACAATTCCATTATATAAATAATATATAACTTATTTATAACTAATCTAAAAGGAACACGGAACCGTAGTTAACACTGCTTACATTATCATTACTACACACCAGGGATCCTCACACTTTTAAATCAGAGGGGCGGTTCACTGTCCCTCAAACACATGGTTTGGGGCAGAGGCGTCACTAAGTTTGGTGTCACCCGTTGCGGGAAACTCATGTTACAACTGCCCCCTACTGAGACCCACAATTCCCCTCTAACCTAAAAAGTAAGGAAAGGCCTTTGGGGCCCAATGTGCTCATGCTCTAACCTAAAAAGTAAGGAAAGGCCTTTGGGGCCCAAGGTGCTCATGCTCTAACCTAAAAAGTAAGGAAAGGCCTTTGGGGCCCAAGGTGCTCATGCTCTAACCTAAAAAGTAAGGAAAGGCCTTTGGGGCCCAAGGTGCTCATGCTCTAACCTAAAAAGTAAGGAAAGGCCTTTGGGGCCCAAGGTGCTCATGCTCTAACCTAAAAAGTAAGGAAAGGCCTTTGGGGCCCAAGGTGCTCATGCTCTAACCTAAAAAGTAAGGAAAGGCCTTTGGGGCCCAAGGTGCTCATGCTCTAACCTAAAAAGTAAGGAAAGGCCTTTGGGGCCCAAGGTGCTCATGCTCTAACCTAAAAAGTAAGGAAAGGCCTTTGGGGCCCAAGGTGCTCATGCTCTAACCTAAAAAGTAAGGAAAGGCCTTTGGGGCCCAAGGTGCTCATGCTCTAACCTAAAAAGTAAGGAAAGGCCTTTGGGGCCCAAGGTGCTCATGCTCTAACCTAAAAAGTAAGGAAAGGCCTTTGGGGCCCAAGGTGCTCATGCTCTAACCTAAAAAGTAAGGAAAGGCCTTTGGGGCCCAAGGTGCTCATGCTCTAACCTAAAAAGTAAGGAAAGGCCTTTGGGGCCCAAGGTGCTCATGCTCTAACCTAAAAAGTAAGGAAAGGCCTTTGGGGCCCAAGGTGCTCATGCTCTAACCTAAAAAGTAAGGAAAGGCCTTTGGGGCCCAAGGTGCTCATGCTCTAACCTAAAAAGTAAGGAAAGGCCTTTGGGGCCCAAGGTGCTCATGCTCTAACCTAAAAAGTAAGGAAAGGCCTTTGGGGCCCAAGGTGCTCATGCTCTAACCTAAAAAGTAAGGAAAGGCCTTTGGGGCCCAAGGTGCTCATGCTCTAACCTAAAAAGTAAGGAAAGGCCTTTGGGGCCCAAGGTGCTCATGCTCTAACCTAAAAAGTAAGGAAAGGCCTTTGGGGCCCAAGGTGCTCATGCTCTAACCTAAAAAGTAAGGAAAGGCCTTTGGGGCCCAAGGTGCTCATGCTCTAACCTAAAAAGTAAGGAAA